CTGTATTATACCGTTGTTGATTGGACCGAACTGATCGGTCTCTATTGGCGTATGGGCTGTTATGCAGATGCCACGATGTTGCCTGTATTCTAATTATCGTAATGATGCCTAGTGGCTAGCAGTGGGATCCAGGATGCGCATTTCGTCCTATTTAGGACTGGTCACATAAGAAGTGGTTACGTGACTCGGTGGTGTAGTGGATAACTCTTTGGCATTTGAGGCGATCGCCCCGAGCCTGAATCCCGGTGGGAACAATATCACTCACTGGAAGTCAGGTAAATCCAGTTGACGAGTGGAAAACAGGACGAAATGCGCATCCTGGATTTCACTACTAGCCGCTATCCATCATTACTGTTTACTTTTTACTGTTTTGATGCAAATCTCCATGATATAGAAATCATAACAGGTTTTTAAATTTTCCACATAAACCTTCAAAAGGCGACTTCTGGTGCTTAGTAAGGAGATTAGAGTTTTCAGGACTTTATATCTATATGAGTTCACGTATTCTGTAGTCAGGCTATGTTCACTTTTTGGTATAATGTTTTGTAACTTAATCCCTAGTGAACTCAAACATATGATTTGACCAGTTTGGCAGTATCAATAGGTTACAAACCTTAGTATGCTGATAATCGGATTCATATCCAACTTTTCTTGAAATATCCAATCTTATTGATAAAAATTTGATACAACTGACGACAGTATGCTTCTTCAAGTGAGGTTGTATTGAATAAATACAGTCGCTTTTTGTAACCATAGGTAGCATAAGTTCTTTCTCTCCATATTCAGTTTCTACCCACCCCCGGATTGATAGAATCCTGGTAACAATAAGAAAGTAATTGGTCATTACTACTACGCAGCATAAATGTAGGCTGTAGAAAATAACTCCGCTTATTAATAAAACATTTTAAATGACAGTGGAATCATGCACACTTGTATGTGCTAGCCCAGCAGATAAATGTTATTTGTTATATCACTTACATACAGGTATATGTATTTATCTATTCAGCGGTTAATGATCGAATTGTATGTCGGTATTATTGTCATTACTTGCGTATAATGTAACTTATCCAGAACGTATACTTGTTTATTCTAAAAGCAAAGTCAAATTTGTATGCGGGATGGATGGTTAAATAAATAAACGATAAATCTTTAACTGACCTATAAGTTAGAACAATAGAATTTATTTGAACACACAACACAACAGACTGCTATTTTGCTTTATGTTTTGTTCGTATGTATGTTGGTTGTAGTCATTGTTTCTCTTGTTGCTTCTTTTCGTTTATGTAAAGTGTTTCAATGGTAAAGGAGAAAGACACAGAGACAGTAGAAAGAAAATCAATGTGCGAAATGAAGCACAATAATCATTTAGACACTTTGAATTACATAAAAATGCATGCAGATGACTTTTTTACCAACTATAATAGGTCGAACAAACTTGAACGGCCAATAGAAAGGAAGATATCTATTAATTATTCATTAAGAAACTTGGTGATCAAGAAAACCTTAGGTGGAAAGGGTGAAATCTCATCTCAACTTAAAGTATATAGTCAGTTTGATTCGACTTAACAAAAATGCTCAGGGATATGAATCCCTTCAGGACAAATTTCATCATTCTTAAGCATCCATTTAGTTCACAGATCGTTGTCATAAGTGCTAACACTTGTTTGTATGTTCTATATCAAGAAACACATTCGAAATGGGTTTAACTTATCTATTAGCAGGAAAATGATTCAGTTATATTTGGATTAGGATGCCAAGTCCCGACTGGGCAGCCAGTGTGAGTAGGATAAAGTGATAGTGGGGCTTCACAGATTCATGTGTTAGTTGGGCAAAACACTTGGTGATTGGAGCGAAATAAAAATCTGGTTATCGGGTGGACCTGTTAGCTCAGGTGGTAGGACTACGGGAGGGAAACCCGGTGGTAGCTCGTTCGAACCCTGTTTCGGTCCAAATTCCCATTTCATTTTCAGTCATCACTCAATATCAGTACGAGTCTACAAAACCATAGCTGTCTTAGATAGTCTACATAAACATCTATGACAGTCAAAGCCTTATAATAGCAAAAACAAAGGTTGGACTTACATTTTGGACACAACGCCGGTGTGAACTCTGAATGATTAGTGCTTCAGCTGTAGCTATATGTTATCATCTTACTCCCTTCGAGTGGCTTGATCGGACCCTGTAGAAGATTTTGAATGAGTTCCCAAAGGAGCTGAGTAGCGTGAGTTCACAAGGTATTCTTCAGCTGAATAATATTTAGTAAAAAAACACTCAGCTCCTTTGAGAACTCATTCAAAACCCTCTACAGGATTCTATCAAACTACTCGAAAGGAGTGAGATTAAGACATTTGGCTATAGCTTATGCACTGGTCAGCTTTTGTCTTTACTGTAGCCATCATAAGGCCTTGACTATTATAAATTTATCCTGTATCACAAAATTACATCTTTATCTATTAGCATGGTGGTTTGTAACGCTTTTACTTTGCAGGTTCTCTGTTGATATAGTGAATAAGCATAAAGAAGTTTCCCTATGGCTAATTAATAGTTTTTTTAAGGTGGTGAATTCCAGCCATCTCGTACTTTTCGATGCTTATTACATATCGCAGAGATACTTTCAAAGTTGGTAGTGAATAAAAAAAAACCTGGTGTTCTTTTTACTGATTTTAGGAAAAACAATAGTGGTAGGTACTTGTATCGTATTACAAATTCGCTAAGTTTTAACAGTTCCAGTTATTCATTATGATTCATTAACAAGGAGGCAATTTTTACTGAAAAGGCATTGAATTTCCCATTTCTGTATCAAAGGTATGGATCACTAGCAGTTTTCTAGTTTTTAGGATTTCATCACTTTTCTATGGTTATTAGAAGGACACTAGAGTTTGACTAAAAATGTTCAAAAGATATATTTCTTGGTGAATGATATGTATTTATATGTTTTAACGAAGATAGTGAATACTTTGTTGAAAATTTATTCAACAGAGGGTTCAAGACTGATATAAACTGAGTAACTGTGATGAAAGATTTTGTTAAAAAAATTGCACCCAGTAAGGATTGTTGTGTAGTTTAACCCAGAAAATTTGTTTCTTCTTTTGGTTGTGTTACACTTATTATGTGAGGACTGGTATTGCTGCCTATTTTCTTAAAATGAAGTAAGTGGAAAGTGTCTGTAACCTTGAACCCACTGGTTGAAAGTTAAGTGCATAGGTCAATGAACCACATTTTCTCAGATTAACACTGGAATCTTATACGAATCCAAGTCCAACTACTTTTTTCACTCTTTCACTAACGTTGGTTATCATAATAAATCTAGCCTAACATTTACAACTACGGAGTGACCTCTATGCACTTGTGTCAGTTCTTCGTGTTATTGATTTTGGTCCATGTGTTTGTGATTATTCTCATGACTACAGTTAGTACAGGTGAATTTAATATTGGAGGCTTTTACAATTACACAGATATTATGCTCTAGAATTTTCACTGGGATGTGTGCTTTATCCAGGCTTTTTCAATATTTATCAGATTCTGTTAACTTTCTAACAAGACATATTTAACCGTTATCACAACTTTACCTATTTATTTGGTGTGAATGTCTCATTGTATTTTATAGTACGAAATCTATAAATAAATCCCTCAGAAAACCTCCTAATTGAATTTAACTTTGGTCATTTGACTAGCTTCAAGAAATGATTCCTGAAGTCCCAATGAGAAGTTGTGACCGGTGGGGCTAATCAACCTGAACATGAGGAGAGTTACTCAACGACGGCATTGGACGAAGGTCGTGCTATATCGTAAACTGACAGAAGTAGGAAATACGACTCAGTGTTGACGTACTAGGTGCGTAACCTACTGGGGAGTCCCATAGTAGTATGAAACAGCCATCCATTCCTCCTATATCTTCAGTATTTCTTCAGCTGATATCAATCTATGATAAATACTAACCTGAAAACGATAATTATTAATTACAGTTATGGCTTTTGATGAAAATCTGATCATTAGATAGTCTGACCAATGTATCTACCATGCCTAAGATTTGAATTGTATTCTATGGGTTATATTATTTCTCTGTGCGATTCGGTCACAACAGATAAAACAGGGAAACTTAGCATTATCATGTTGATCGTAGTGCTTTAGTTTTATTTCTAACCTGGAATTTCATTTGTACTCTTCAGTTGAAAGTATTTTCAGCAAGTTCTAAGAACTGAACAAAATCACAAGTTTTGAATGACTCATTGGTTCGTCGATTGTAAATTGGCTAGAGTACTCTATCGCAAAAATTGATTCTAAATAAGTAAAATATCTGTGCAATGTTTAGGTCATATATTCATAAGGTTGTGTCTGCTAAAATTAATTAGTAACCTTTATGTGGATGGTGGAATTTTGTCTCTCAAGTTGTAAGGCTTATAGACTAATTTTAATATGTATACAAGAATTAGAGCTAAATTTCGGTTGATTTGCGGTTTTTTATCGTTAATTATATACATTTTCATTATATCATGAAAGAGTTAGCGATACTCTTTCCTTTTGTTTAACTGCTTTACTCACCTTTGAATCAAAGTGAAATAAAGTATGTATTGCAGATATCCTTCTTGATATTACTGATTTGGAATTTCGGTATATTCGTTAACCACCACTTTTTCAAAAGCTTTTCGACTACCACTATCTTCCTTCCATTATATATATATATATATATATATATATATATATATATATATATACTTTGTAAGTATAATTTCAACTTGGCGTTTTGCGAAATCATGCGACCAATTCTTATGTCAGTAGCTTTCAACCTTTATGTATATATATATATATATATATATATATACATATATCAGCGCCCAAAAAAATGATTGTCAATATTATTGCAAGAATTCACATCGAATTCGATGTAACATTTCTAATTTTTTTCGTTTCACTACTATATTGAACACATTAGTTTGTACAAATTTTATGATGAAATAAAATTAGAAGTATGCTAAACAGTAAACATTTTATTATTGCAGGAATTTTTTCTCCTGGGATAAAAATATGATCTCCGCTTGGTTGTACAAAATTGGTCTCGGATACACAGTATCGAATACACGGAAATGGTTAACTTCTGGTCAGGATTTAGTAAACACCTCAAAGAAATCACTTACACAGGTAAAAATCTGTGATTTTAATCATTTTAAATTTTTTTGGTGAATGTCTTACCTATTTCTCTTAATTTTCATTCACTAGATATACATATATGCTGTTTAAAACACGGTATTATCACAGTTTCACATTTGAAATAAAGGGAACCTACTTTTTTACAGGAAACCTATTCTCTTTTAGAGGTGATATTTATCACGGGAGAACCATTGTAAACCTGGGACCACTGAACAACTGTTTCCTCCTAGTATGAGACTCCTCAGTAGTACGGACCCACAACCCAGCTTGGGATCGAACTCAGGATCCCCAGGTTTCACGGTGAAAGCGTTAACCACTCGGCTACTGGGTCAATTTTCAGTGGTTTATAGTTTCGAACTTCTGTCAATTCACGATACAGTGCAATTATCACCTGAGGTCTTCAGTTGTCATCCGCTTCCCTTCCAACTGGTTGACCCCACAGGTCATACCTCATTAGAACTTCGTGATATCCATCTGGAAGCATGTCACTTATGATCATTATGCAGTAACATATATAAACATATGTATATATATACCCCATAACAGTGCTCCTAGGTTTTCAATGGTTCCCCAACTGATGTCAGTCTGTGATGAATACTACTTCTAAATTAAAGTCCCCATTCATCTCAAAAACACATTACTATATTCTCTCTTATTCAAAAATTGATATTTCTTCCATTTTAGTGGTGCATTGCATATTTCTCTCTAAAATTTTAATCTCGTCACTGGTAACATAGAAACTGCGACATTTTTTTTTACAGAACTGAAGCATTTTATCTGTTTGGCAAAACAAGGTTGAAAATGAATTTTAATTAAATTAAGTGACTGACTTTCAGAATATCTAAGAAAGCTAATCCAAAGATTTGACACGCTTACAACCATGATAATGAAATCGTTACTTTGTTTTCAGACAGTATAAATCTGAATGCAAGTTCCCCTGTTGAATCATCTTCAAATACTGACGTTGATCAGTAGCATATATTTCATAACGTATTGCTAATGTCTATCCCTTTTCATTTCATGACTTTCAGTACAACACAATTACAATAAGACTTTATTTATTGTTCAGTCCTTATAATTAGATATTTTCAGTTTACTTCAAAGTAACATGAATAAGTGATCTTCAGTTCAAATCCTCAGTAATACATGCCAATACTATTTGCCTACATTCATTCCTTTTCATGTTAACACACTCATGTACAGTTTGATTTTGATTTTTGTAAAATAGTGCTATTTAGATAAAATGAGTTTCCTGTATCAGTCGCCTTCCTATCTAATTACACATTTCAAGAAATACCTAGAACCTACATATAAAATATGTCAAACTCCAAAAGAAGGGAAACCTAAGTCTTTACAAGAGCCAGCGCGAAATCATACTCCTGTTCCTGTCCACCCCAAGCAAAAAATTTATCCGCATCATCCTGGAGAGACTAAAAACTGCTCTGGATTAAAAATTACAACCGTAATAGGCTGGCTGTTTGGCTTCAGGAAGAACAAATCATCTGCAAATCAAATTGCAACGCAACGCATCATCATAGAATAGAGCATAGAAAAGCAGTCCACTATACCTGTGCCTCAACTTCATTGGCTCTGCAAAGATTTTTGATAGCGTCGATCAAGCAGTAATTTGGCAGGCAGCTGCTTCAAGACTACATTTTTAGTGCCACAACCCTTTATCAAACTCATTCAACAGCAGCTATATGCTATATGAGGATGCTACATATCAAATGATTCAAAACTGAAAGCCCAGTTATGCCTTTGGAGTGAAGACAGGAGTAGGACAAGACAAAGTTGCCTACTATCACCAATGATCTTCCTGTTTGTGGTCGACTAAACTGGACTGGACTGGATCATACAAGAAAATGTGAGGAGCTGTGGGAAGATGGATATACGCTGTCTGACCGATGAAAAGACCGTAGGAGACTTTGACTTCGCCGATAATGATTTATAGTAATTGTCTTGTAGCACAAGCTCAAAGATGTACAGGCAAAGACTAAGAAGTTGGCAGAAGAGGCGAGGCGAGGCGAGGAGAGGCGAGGTAGGGCAGGGCAGGGCAGCGAAGGAAGATGGGAATTCTCTGAGATGAATGTAAAGAAGACAGAGGTGATGAAGGTACCCGACCACCACCACTAACAACAACAAGCATCAATCACCATCAATAGGAAAAATCTGAAAGAATATTTTGCTTTCACCTACCTACCCAAACAGCACCGTTTCAACTACAGGCGGCGACACAGATGAGGATGCGAAACTTAGGATCAGAAAGACAGAAATACAAGTCTTCCTTCATTAGTCTGAAATAATCAGTGTGCAGATCTACTGCACTCAGCATAAAGCGTGAATGAGATCCGGATTTTCAACACTAATGTCAGTCAAGTAAGTCAATGCTTCTATGTGATGGTTGAGAGACTTGACGCGTTACGAAAAGCATTTCCAACAAACTGCAGACATACATCATACATGAACAGCTGGCACCTACACTCACTCGATACTGAAGATGGAGATGAGATGGATGGTGAGAATAATAAGAATTAGCAAGAAGGAACTGTGGCTGACTGGCTGGCTGGCTGGCTGGCTGGCTGTCAATGAACCAACGAAGTAAGAACCCGTCGCCCAACAAATATGCAGAAGAAGAGAGTGGATATGGATTGGATTGGACATAGACTGAGTGGACCATTTGAGGAAATCACGCGTCAGGCCATTGAGTGGAACTCGAATAGGGAACGACGAGTTGGGTGTGTGAGGGTGACATGGAGGAGATGGTGTGAGGAAGAAATGATAGGTTGTGGGTAGTTATGGAGTCAGATTGGAAGAACTGGAGTGAAGAGAGTGAAATGGAGGCGTGCTACTGAATCCCTATGTTCCACTAGGAACCCAAGGGACAAATAATAATAATAATATTCTAATGCTTCGTTCTTGATAACAAATTAAGCATCCTTTCATCCTTTCAGACAGTCATTCAGTCAAAAACATTTTGTATCACATTCATTTAAAATCATCAAATATATGTTTCTGACATTTTCATTCGTGTTTTGAATGTACTATGAGGTGTATCTTCTTAATTGTGGCTTCTAACTATAATAAAGATGTTGCCACTCTGATTAGTCTTGATGGAAACGTCTCTTTGTCTCAATTTTACTTAAATATTTTTCCTAGGCTGTTTTCTTTATGAGAAGGGTATCTTAAATTCTGCTTTTCTCAACTCAATGTATGTAAATTACTCTCAATATAATCCATGCTTTTGTCTATTTGAACCATACGCACGTTGATATTGCACCATTGTGATAGACTATTAACTTGTCAGTGTGTGAAAATGTAACTCACTTTGGTTTTATTTGATTTATTTAATAATGATAATTAGATGACAATCGGTCAGTTAAAATGGAAAATGTTTTTCAGGTTGGTATTCACCGTGAACTGATATCAGTTGGAGGAACATTGGAAACTTGGGGGCATTGGACAGCTGTTTCGCTCTGCCATGGGACTCCTCAGCAGTGCACACCCGTGATCCTGCAACACCAAAGGGCGAACCTAGGACCTTCAGGTTCCTTGGCCAGCGGGTTACTATTGAGTCACTGGGTTGGAATACAATGGTTCATATTTCCAACTTCTGTGAGTTCACAACATAACGCGACCGCCACCCAATGTCATCGTTGAATATTTGTCCTCACGTCCATCAGGTTTGCCCCACTGGTCACGACTTCTCACTGGAACTTCGAGAATCACCTCTCGAAGCTAGTCATCAATGAACACTAGTTCAATTAAATTTGGGGTTTGTGGGTATTTGAAGATTATTTTTCAAGTCGCGGGTTTGATCTCTGGTGGGGTCGTGGGTGCGCACTGCTGAGGAGTCCCATACTAGGACGAAACGACTGTCCAGTGCTCCCAGGTTTCCTTTGTTCCTCCAACTGATGTCAGTCTTCGATGAATAACAACTTGAAATATTTCCAAATCTCCACAACTCCCTCAAAATTTAATTGAACTGGTGCTCATTGGTGACTAGCTTCGAGAAGTATTCCCGAAGTTCCAATGACAAGTCGTGACCGGTGGAGTCAAAGCCTGATGGCCGTGAGGACAAATACTCAACGATGACATTGGGTGGCGGTTCGCGCTATATCGTGAGCTAACAGAAGTTGGAAATATGGAGCATTGGATTCTGACCCAGTGGCTCAATGGCAACGCGCTGGCTGCGGAACCTGAAGGTCGTGGGTTCGATCCCTGCTGGTGTGGGGTCGTGGGTGCGCACTGCTGAGGAGTCCCATACTAGGACGAAACAGCTGTCCAGTGCTCCCAGGTTTCCCTTGTTCCTCCAACTGATGTCAGTCTTCGATGAATAACAACTTGAAATATCTTATCATTCTAAAATGAATATTGATCTTAATATCTTTGAGTAAGAAGAGGTTGTGAGTAAAGTAATAACATGAATTCATTTATATTCCATTTCAATGAATTATTCACAAAGCACCTTTTAGAAATTAACATTATGAAAATGATACTTTTGATCGTATAGTCACTTCTCGAAAATTTTCATCAGTTGGGTATTTAATCAACTTATTATATCTGCTAAGTTGATAAAATCAAGAAGTTATGAACTATTGAAGTTTTAAGCAATGACCTGAACCTATCAAAGAAGTTCATGAGAAATGCTGAAAAATTATAGAAGTTTCATTAGATTTAATACATGAGTCATATAAATGTTTCAACTACTCCAAATATAAGCTAATTTTTAATATTTGTTGTAGCCTTGCTTTTAGTTTTCTGTCAATAAGGAAGGAATTAAAAATCAAAGTTTCAGGTCAATCTGCTGTAAATTATCATACTCGTTCAACTTGTATACTAGATTGACCGTCTACTGTTCAAGAGATTTGTGTTCGCACTTACCGGAGAAATATTTGTACAACACGTAAATAAGTCTAACAGCGTTTATATATATATATATATATATATATATATATATATATATATATATATATATATAAAGGCTTCAGCAC